ATCAGTTACTTCAGAGTTGTCTCCTCTCCTTGCCATCCCATCTTCCAAAAGTTAAATGTAAAGTCAGCAACTAGGGCATTCCCAAAAGAGACAAAGGTCAGCCACGGAAAAATCCGGGGATCCCCAGAAAGGAAGTCTCTTGTACTCTTACAGTTCCTTTCAGGAATGAGTTCAACAGCTCTATTCTACTCTGAATTTTATTTTGTTTGTTATCTGAGGTCTCTGTGATCATTAAAGAGGGGGTCTAGAATGAAAGAACTATGAGTAAGACAATAGGGTTTCTAAGTCTTCAGAGTTTTAAATATGGCAGCATTAAACTCATTTTAATTGCTCATAATTTCTGAGGTCACTAGAAATAACTGAAAGTGCTCAAAGTCAGGTCTGTGTCTTCTGACGTTTCGTAGAAAGCTCTTAAAAGGAAAAGAGATTCTACATAAATAGAATCTGGGAAATTATCCTCATGAGTCTTCCAAGAAATTTAAAAAAAAATGTCACAAAGGACAGCAGCTATGAAACTCCTTGTTCTAGGAGGTAGCTCTGAAGATGTAATGAAATGCTCAGGTCCGAGGGGCACACAGGAGCGGACAAGTTACCTCACAGGGAAACCCTTGACCGAAGGAGAGGTTGCACCTCGAATGATTAACCTGCTCTGCATTATCCATTTCCAGAGAGGCCCAGATGCTGTAGTCTATAAAAAACAACCACTGGCTTAGGCACTGAGGTAAGTGCTAGTCCAGCTCAAACTGGATGTGGTGAGCTAGAGACAACACACATCTCGCCCAGACTCCACCTGGAGCGTGAAAGCACCTGGAGTGGGAGCCAGTCCTTTCCAGGTTCACTGCCTCCCTCACTCCCTCCCTCACTCAACAAGTATCTGTTCAGCCACAAATGTGAAATACCATTCCAAGTGCTTGGGAAAAGACCAGCAAGCAACACTAGAAGACACACTAGTATGTCTTAAGTATGCTCGTATTCCAAATTCCGAAACTTACTATAAAATCAGTGTTTTCGAACTATGAGCTATGTAGGTCATCCAGCAGTAGTAACAAATGAGCACTTGCAAAACAAAATGGGGGGGGGGACCAAACAGTAAAAAATATCAGAGTACATAACAAACAGCAAGGTCAGTTTGGTTTCATAGAATCCACTTCACTCAGAGCTACCCGTTTATGATGACTGCTGGCCAAAACAGGTAGGTGCCTCTCAGCACGGACTGGTTGAGCCACAAGGGTGCAAAAGTCCCCAATTTAAAAAACCTCTTTTCCTTCCAGATACACACTCTCCTCCTCCTCGTCACTCTGGTTTTTTGTTTGTTTGTTTTGTTTTTTTTAACAAAATAAGGAACATTTATTCTCAAGCAGAAAAGCAAATTCATGTAAAAATGCAACTGGTTTCCAAGAATCTATTGTCTATGTCCAAGTCCACAAAAGACCTGGAGGTCCCTGAAATCTATACCTTTGGGTTAATAAAGGAGGGGCAGTCTCTTTTTGTTTTTTTGAGACAGAGGTCTCACTCTGTAGTTGACGGGCCTTGAACTCACTATGTAGCCCAGGCTGGCCTGGAATTCATGGCGATCCTCCTGCCTCAGCCTCCTGAGTGCTCAGAGTATAGGTATGGGCCACCACACTCAGCAAGTACTTTTATTGCGCAAATGACTACTTTTTCTTTTCTGGTACCAGGGATGGAACTTGACTCCTTGCACTTTCGAGGTAGGTGCCGGAACCACTGAGCTAAATCCTCAGTCCAAGCAAGTTTATAAAAGTCCTATGCTTTTCACTCTGGTTCTTAACAGCCTGTCCATAAATGCAATCTTACTACCTTCTTCTTTGCCCGATTACAGCATTTTGAGTAAATATTAAAGAATACATTCTCACATTCCTTCCCGATCAGTGTTCCTGGCTTTTCTGAGTAGATGCCCTTTTACACCCATCTTCCTTGTCAGCTGATTAAGAAAACACACCGTGGCCAGGAGCCACAAGAACTTTTATATGGATTCTTTTTTCCTGAGACAGGGTCTCATTGTATATAGTTCAGGCTGTCCTTGAACTGACAGTGATCCTCCTGCCTCAGCCTCCCAAGTGCAGGAGTGGGGCACCACATCTGACTTACATGGATTCTTAAGTACTAACTAATCCTAAGAGCTTCTACACAGAAATACAAAGCATGCAAGCACACCTACAAGTATTCACTCCTTCTGTGTACCATGTGTGATGTTCAAACGCCCTGATGGATCCTGAGCACAAAGACTGGTAATCACTTTCTAGGTCCCCATGTGCACAGCATTTCACTGTTTTAGGCGCACCAGGAAGCCAGGCCTGGGGGTGCACACCTGTAATCCACCACTTAGGCTGAGGGAAGAGGACCCTAACTTTAAGGCCACCCGGACCCCACCCAATCACATGTTACCAGATGGCTGCTTAGGGTAGTTTCCACTTATTTTACTACTCCTCACTCTCTCTTCTTTCAATTCATGCACACTATTTAATCTGAGCACTCACAGGTACATGACTATTTTTATTTGTGGGTATTCATTAGCTCTTTTATAAAATTTGTTTGTTTGTTTGTTTTTTTGGTACCAGGGATCGAAGTCGGGTCCCTGCGCTTGCAAAGCAGGCACCGGAATCACTGAGCTAAATCCCGCGCCCCTCTTTTATAAAATTTTTAATCCCCGACTCCTTCAGAGTGCTACTTAGAGTTGGGAAAATAATTCTTAAATGGTGAGAGGCACGCCTAATCCTGTAAGTGACTGTGCTTTCGTCGGCCAACATCCCAAGGTGGCCATGGATGGAACTGGGGAAGTAAATGGGGGTGAAACAGAACAAGCACAGAACTGGGCTCTCTAATCCCTGAAGTCAAAGGACTACAGCAGCTCTGACTTCCCAAAGGCCTTATGCTCCTTGTCCTGCAGGCCATATTATGAGGCCTAGTCCTGCTTCCTGCTCCCACGTCTGCTCTGCTCCCTTTGGGGGCTGGGCAAACAGGAAGCCCAGACACCTTTATTACATATCCCAAGGTGGGCCACACGGAAAAGGTGGGAAAGTCCAGAAGGAGAAGGTTGTGGCAGTCCTAAAGTAGACAGCTACGTTAGTTACAAATATTACAGGCAGTCAGACAGGGCTGGGCCCTGGAAGAAGTCAGTGTAGAAGACAAGAATACATCACAACTGTGGCTGGAGGTGCATTCAGTGAAGGTCTGGCTTCAGGACTAAGAGAACAGCAGTGATATATATTCTAAATAGCTATCGATCATCTGAGTGGGGGACCATGACTTTAACCCAACCCATCCAGGAAAAGTTATTGTTCAGACATGACTTGCTTCCCCACTTGATCCTCCTTTAATCAATGTTATGTAAGAGACTATACTTGTAATCTATTGGTTGACCATTGTTTTGTCTCACCTTATACCCACCTTGTGATTTTCCCTTGGATCAATATTACGTAAGCGACTGTACTTGTAATCTTATTAGTCACCTACAGTCTTGTCCCACCGCGAACCTGCCTCACCTCATGGTTTTATCTATAAAACTCTCTTGAGAAGCAGGGTCCACAGCCAATATACTTTCCAGGGTCCCTCTGTCTCTTAGGCAGAAGCTATCTATCTTCCTCTCAATAAATACTTCCTACTCTTAACCTCCACTGTTCCTATAATTCATTCTTCAATTACAGAGAACATGAACTCAGTATGTCGGACATCTAGCAGGTTGGGAGTTACACTATTTCCCTTATATTACTTGGCGGTCCATGTATCATCCCTGTATCATGCTCCCTACTGTCAGTCCACCTCTCAGCAGACTCTGGCTGTTACCTGAAACCCCCACTTCCAGAGACCAGCTCTAGCCCCTCCGCCATTTCAACACCTTCCCCTCCTGGAAACTCAAACTGCAGAAAGGTGGTAACCAGCTGTAATAGAGATTAGAGGATTGCTGCTTGCAACACTCCCTACGGTCAGCAAATACATAAACCTCAAATGCTCAAAACTGGCTTTCGTATGGACCCCATATCATTTGTTTCCTAAACTACCCATGTTTCATTTTTAAAAAGAGAATCGTTTTGAATATATGAAAGGGAAAGAGGGTTAAAGGGAGGAGAGGGGAATGAGGAAAAAAAGAATCAAGTTATATTATGTACAGGTACAAATTCTCTATGATGAATGTTAAAAATGGACCAATAAATACTAATTTTAAAAAACATGCAAGGTGGAGCTTTAGTTCAATAGCACCACATGTTGCCGCCCAAGTGCAAGGTCCTGAGGTTTGATCCTGGTACTGAGAAGAAAAAGAAAAAAAGCATGCAACTTAGTCTTCACTTATTAACTACCTCTAAGAAAACCTTGTTGCTTCCCTGGCTGGCTGCAGAGGAAGTCATTCCACCACCTTCCAGTGCTGGCTGTAAAATGCCGGCCTGGACAGGGCTGATAAACCGGAATCCTCCCCAACCACGGCTCCAGACTCCAGGACAACCTCACGCTGGCACAAAGCAGGGGATCACCGCTTCCAAGGGGACAGTCATTTTGAATTTGTCTTCCTTAAAGCAATCTCTTGCATAGGTATTTCTGTCTCCCATAACAAAATCCAGGACTACCTTAGCAGGCCTTTGAATTTAAGTCAGTGCTTCAGGTGTCTAAAACTTGTTTCTACCAAAGACAAAGATGAGGGCAGTCTTCATAAATTACACAGGCAACTAGAAACCACAGCCTTCCAATTTTTCCTTTTCTGTGTTATTAGCTGATAACAAGCTTGACCAACTCAAAGTGATCAGAATAGCACAGAAACAACACTAACCCTAAAAATCTAACTTCCCGGTATACATACACATACTAAATATATGTGGCCAAATATTTAGCAAGCCATCCTATCCGTGCTTTGAACCTAAAACAGCTGTTAACTACTTACAACACAGCAACATGCTGGTGCATCGTTACATTAGTAATTTTAAAAGCAGGTGAACGCGTTATGTCTAGGCTTTATGACAGCAACCTAACTTCACAAAATTAATAGTTACCAAGTTTCTGAGTAGGTGATCCAGGTGGAGACGAATTCCCACTAGGGGACAGGTAGAGGTAGTTTTTGTTCACTCCTGCATTGAAATCAAACGGGGACTGGTAGTCTTCATATAAGTCTGTGTCTCTGTGATCCATCTCAGAGAGAGACAGAACGCATGGCTTTGGGGCCGCCTGAGCTCCCTCCGCAGTCGCGCGCCCCCTGGCCTTTTCCCTTGGCCCCAGCGCCAAGTTCCCTGAGGCTGCCTTCCCGGTTTGCAGGCCCCGCCCCCGGCGTCCCGCTCAGGTGCGGCTCCGGCGAGCAGGCCCTTTAATAAATGACTTCACCTGAGCGGCTTCAGGAGGGGCGCCTCTGTTCACCACCTGTTGTTGATTTCGGTCAACAAAGAACAACCTGGCAGGGGTGTGGCGCTTTCTTCAGTAAACAAAGGAGGTGGGCTGTGGGCTCTGAAATATCCCTCAAGACGGTTGAAAAGTTCAAGTAAATGCTTGACACTGTCAGAATTAAAAGAAATTATCCCCAACTATCCCAGGGCAGAGTTAATATTCTAGGACAAGGAAGGATTATCTTTCAGTAATCTGCAGATGCCATCTGGGTGATTTTTTTTTTCCACCCTGGATTTACCATCGAATGTGAAAGCTGAGCTTCCTGGTTTGGCAACCAGCTTTCTAAGCAAAACTTGATAGAAAAATAAAGCTGTATTTCCGTCATTATTTTATCTAAAGTGGAGTCTGCAGCTAACATACAATTTTCAATCTGACTTGTCTTTTTCTTTCTCTTCATGAGGAGGTCGGTGTTTCAAATACTAGAGGAGAATCCACTGAAGGTCCAGTCCCTACGTGGCCTGTACTCCACTGTTTGACTAAGGCCAGGCTCTGCACCCTTCTACACTAAGCCTGTTTGTCTTGGCCGCAGTCCTCCCGGCAGTGGCAGGGCTACAGTTGGCTTGTAAACCAAAACTTCCCACAGCAAATCCACTTCCTAGGGCACAAGTCTCAGCAGAGCCTTTGCACACTCGCAATGGCCTCTGCTACTAGCATCTGCAGCTCCCAGGCTTGTATTAACATAAGGAGGTAAAACAAAGGCACCCAGGGGACCCCTGCTGGGCATGGGGCTTCACTGCCTAACAACAAAAAAAGTCAGTTCCCTATCTTTCTAAATCTACTCGAAAAAAACAGAACTTGACAGTCTCCCTGAATTAGAAGCAAATATAATACCCAATATATTTTAAGAATTTTAAAAATCAAGGTGTCTAATGTATAAAATATACATGCACCAAGGCAGTCTATATTCATCTCAACTTATGACTGAGTTTAATTTTTTGTTAGCCACACGTCGTATTCTATAACAAATCTTCGCTTTAAGTTTAAAAAGTTTATTTTTAACAAACAATACTTTTCTCTCCTATAAGATACCAAAATTTGAGCAGTGATGTTACTCATTTTATATTTAGAAACAGTATAAATGGTTTTTTATTATTACTTAAAATAAATTTCTGAACTTCCTAAAATCTGTGGCATCTCTAACTGTAAGGGGACACATACTAGGATGTGTTCCTGGCCTCGAGGTGGCTCAAGGGTCCTTATTGTTATGGTTTAGATCTAAAATGTCCCCCAAAAGTCTCGTGTGTTCAGAGGTACAGCTTTCAGAAGGAGCTGTGAACACTGTGACCCACCCACTCAGGAGCTCCTGAAAGTGCTGTGAGGAGGTGGGGTCTGTCAGAAGAGGTGGGTCACTGGGGTGCGACCTTTCTAGAAGGGCGTGTTCTTGACCCAGTTCCTCCCCTCTCTCCTGCTTCCTGGCTGTGCTGGTGAGCATCTTTGCTCTGCCACACCTCTCTGCCATGCTGTTTCTGCCTCGAGCCATACACCATGGACGGAGCCCACTAAAAACATGAGCCAAGTAAACTTCGCTTCCTTTACGTTGCAGGTGTTAGGTATTTTGTCCCAGCAATGTCAAAGTGACTACACCGGCCTTCTTCAGACATTAGGTATTTGGTCACTGCCTACCGGCAGGAAAGGCATTATTCTATTACCTTACTTGTGCCACAGGTATTAGGCGATTAATTCTGTCACAGATACAATGCAAATCACAGCTGCCTTCACACCTCTCATCACTTCAACCCCAATATCCTCGGCCTTCAGTGCTAACAGCCAAGTGAAACGCATTACCTGAAATGCTGCACTATTTCTGCCAGAATCATGCACCCTTCAAGACGCAAAAAGAAATACTACCCCTTCTCAGAAGTCCTCCCAGTGTCTGTCCCCTCTCCATTTCCAGCAGCAGCACCCAGAAGTGAAGTGCCTATATCTCTTCAACCTCCCCTCCAAGGCAGACACCACATCTGAATTAGACCAGGCTTGGTAATCAACATGGAATGAACAAAGCCAATTAATTAGGCCTCATTCTCAAATGTAAGGACTGAGATTTTAAGTAATGGTCTAAAAGTTGTACTCTACCTGCTTGGTATAACCTTAGGAATGTACATAACATCCCAGCTTTTGTAGCCAATTCCTGATTATTTGTTTGTTTGTTTGAGACAGAGTCTCACTATGTAGATGAAACTGACCTGGAACTCACTATGTAGCCCAGGCTGGTCTCGAACTCACAGGATCCTCCTGCCTCAGCCTCCCAAGTGCTGGGATTACAGGAGTGCACCACCACACCCGGCTTGTAGTCAATTCTTAAATCTCCACATTGACAGCCAAAGCCTACTCCAGACATCATAGCCTTGAGAAAAGTGAAAACAGGTGACCAGTCATTAGAAATGCCTAAGTGGACTAATGGAATGGCAGAGATCCAGTTAACTCAATATTCATGTGACCTGGGGATTTAGCTCAGGCACAGTGCCTGCCTGGCAAGCACTAGGTCCTAAATTCAATCCCCGTAGGGTACCAAAAAATAAATTTTTTTTTTTTTACTGCAAAGTAGAAGCAAGTTTAAAAAATTAAAAATGTAACTTGGGAACAGACCCCCAAAATCCCTGAGTGACAATTACATTGAATGTACTGGGGGCTAGGGGCTGAAGGTTTTTGAGCTACTTATAAAAAGTTTACTCACAAACTGGTGTGTAACTTACTGGTACAGCATTTGCCTGGCATGCACAATGTCCTGCATTTCATCTGCAAGCATTGAAAAAAAATAGTAATTTTAAAAGCAAATATTATAGGGCCAGGGATTTAGCTCAATGGTACTGCCACCTGCCTCGAAAGCACAAGGTCCTGAGTTCAAACCCCCATACCAAAAAAAAAAGCAAATATAAAGGTGACCCTGGAAATGGTGCATAGGACACACTGCAGGGAGAAAGAGGTTACAACAGAGGGGACTTTGAAAGAGAATCCTAGTCAAATCCAGGCAAGAAGAAGGGAAGCCTTTGCCTCTATGGCAGCTCTTTTCATTTCCTGCATGAAATGTCTGGCCCAAGGAAAAACCAAGTAGATTTGGTCCTGCTATTCCAAAATTACTTCAAGATCGATGTGCACAAGACTGTATCCGCCAGTCTTCCTCACACCGCCCTGAGTTTCCTAGGCCTGGCCTCTAAGTAATTGCACCTGTAGGTCTACAACCTGCGCTTCTGGATGCTGCTCTGGAGGAGCCTTGGGGTCTTTTCCTGTCCACCCAAACAGGACAGAGAAACAGAGAGGCAAGAATAGAGGAGCACCAGCATTGAGCCACTAACCCAGTGTCCCTGGATTAACTTCCATTCTACTTCTCTTATGATTCAACTCTATCAGTTCATAGAAAAAGTCTCAAATGACCTTCTTTTCGATCTTATTTACCCTATTTGTTTCAGTCAAACTTGATTTTCCTGCTTCCTGAACACATCCTAAATTTGTCCTAGACAATTTTTTCCAAGTAGAGTCTCCTTTTTCTGTATTTTTACCTGTCAAATTCCTAACTACTTATCAAACTCTACTTAATAAGGGATGTTCATTTTTAGCTGCTACCTGAAATGGAAAAAGTAAACAAAACAAAAGCCTATTAAAAGTGGATTATTAGCCAGGCGTGGTGGCACACACCTGTAATCCTCTAATCCCAGCACTCAGGAGGCTGAGGCAGGAGGATCCCTGTGAGTTCCAGACCAGCCTTGGCTACATAGTGAGTTCCAAGTCAGTCTCAACTACACCACAAAAGAAACCCTTGTCAAAAAAACAAAAAAAAAAACAAAAAAAAAAAAAAAAAAAAAAAAAAACAGTGGATTATTTAGGGCTGGGGATTTAGCTCAGTGGTGCCGCCACTTGAAGCACAAGGACTGGAGTGCAAACCCCAGTACCAAAAAAAAAAAAAAAAGGGGATTTAAATGCTTTAAAGCACATTCATGTAGCAGAAAATATGTAAATATTAATGTGATGTAGAAATATATAATTTTTAACATGGTATTGATATAGTTAGGTAAGTAAAACAGTTCAAAAGCAGGTTGGCATTGGATTATCTGTAATTGTATAATAACTAAAGAGAGATCAACCAAGTAAAATAAAACGGGCAGATGTCCCCTGACCTCAGAAAAGTGATCATGCGCTGCAGAGCCAGCAGAGGGCGACCACAGCGAGCTCAGCGATCAATTCAGGGCACCCAGTAAAGAGCAGAACCCATTAGATGACTCATTACTGCAAATGGAAATGGTAGTAGATACTACAAATAACTGTAAAGACAACTAAGTCTCTGTCGGTCCATTAATACATCACTCAAATATATCAGCGTAGATTATCCCCAAATCTGAAAGACATTCAAGGGACAGTCCGATTTAAAAGCTATACAACTTACAAAACGTACTTGGTAGGCCCTGAAGTGGACCTCAAAGCCAGCCAAGATGGCCGCCCAACAGGCAAGGGGATGTGGATTTGCCACAAGACACTGAGCCAGCTGGATGGGGTTCCAACTGCCAAACGTGGGACAATGGACCACTGAAATAACTGGGGATGACAATAAGTTATAGCCCAGGAGTCCATTAAAAATAATGACACAGGGGAAAGGAAGACAATTTCAGAAGAACGCCATCCTGGCCATCCCTGTAAAGAGTCACAATGCCAAACTAGGAAGATATTTTGACAAAGAGTGGAATATTCATAGGGACTTAAAGTGCCCCACGACGCACACACAGATTAATTACCTGTCAGAAGGGAAAACAGGCTCACAGTACAATGGACAAATGGATCACACCTTGGCTAGGTGATCAAAGCTGCCATTACCCAATGAAAAGGTCGCTGGAT